TTTCATCGTGTGTAGGAAATAAAATCTGACAATATTGTATCATTGACTAGAGTCATTCAATGCACTTACTTTCCACACGGTTAGACGACTGCCCATCTGTCAACAGTAGGATTACATGGGATCGTCCGTTGTCAAGAAACAGACTACGTGCCAAGTTCAAGCCTAAGTCAGTTCTGGTAGACCGAGCTGGGTAATGGACATTCCCAATGACCTGCAAAAGGGAGCGATATGAAATTTGAGGTCACAGTTTATTCTTACCATGGGCAAATTTATAAGCTCTCATTAATTAGTATAATTGTGAATAAATAATCTATAGCATGTTCAATATGAAATCAAGTTACAAAATATGTGTTTAATGTGAGGTGGAATAAAAATCTTTCTATTTCGGCTTCAAAAACAGCGTTTAAAAATAATTTTCAGGTAAAGTTAAAAAAAAACATTAAAAAACAACCCCTTTTGAAAACAAGTGGTGCGTCATCTTGAAATTCAATGTCTGAATCAGAGTAACAAACTGATGAGCCAGGTTGTACATACATAATCCACCATCCTTAAACTTAAGTCCTTTCTCTACAAACCAGATAAATCAAAGTTAACTTGCGTCAGAACGCCACCTGCCCTATTGTAACCCAACGCATATTCCTTATAGCAATATTCACTTCGTACTTTACTTGCCCGATAATAGCCTACACTTAGTGCGTCAAACGACAATAGTAACCAACACACAGAGTATCGTTTTCCCAAATATTAGCCTACATTCATTTCGTCATATTCCTACAGTAGACTACAATCAGTAAGTCATAATGCACACAGTAGACTGAATTCAGTACTTCCCCTGCCTTATTGTAGCCTTGTAGCCTATTTATTGAGATCGAGCTATCAAGACGTATTATGGAAATATACATGCCTAAAAATCTCACATTGCCCTTCCCCTTGCAGAATCTTTCACATCATTGCGTAGAAAACATTGTATACACAAAGTAAGCTCGGACCTTAAATATAAATTTTTTTCATGTCGCACAATAAACTTATAATTTAATCCAAAAAATTTTAAATTTATTTGGATGTATCAAATAAACCGAACTTGATTTATAGTGGATTACTACCGACCTTCTCTAGTGACTCAGTGTCATTGTAGGTGTAAGGGTCAAATATTTTGGTGGCGTTTTCACTGAAGGTGACCATCCCAATGCCAAAGTTCATAAGTCCACCAGTAGAAAACAGATTTGTGATATTTCTGATAAAAGTCAAGACTATCTTAAAGTTTCCAAGACCTATACTCCCAGAGCCATCCACTACAAACACGATGTCAGCCAAGCCGTGGCATGTTCCGTTACCATTTGATGCTGTAGAGAAATTCGAAATAATTAAAATGTAATTTTAACAATTATTTTTTTTTGAGCTGCAAATGTTCTTACTTTTGTATAAAATCAGGAATAGTTTTAAAATAAAAAAAAATAAAAAATTTGTGACTATTGTATTTAAACTATTATCCAGATTGTACTTCAAATGATTTTTCATTATATCGTATCTTCAAATCTTCAAATCAGTATTTTAATTGGACCCGATCTGAAAATCTCAGTAACAATAATAAACTTTAGAAGCGCAACAAAAAGATACTTGACACCTTTTTGTGAGGCCCTTACCAAGCCAATCGCTTCTTCAACAGCCAAAAACAAAGGATAAGACATGAAGGACTGCGTTCAAGCAGTTTGAAGGAAAAAGTAGAACGAAGTACGTGGAAGCTTTAATCGAAAGTTAACAACAATGGCAAACACTTAAGTTTTGAAATAGTCTCTATTCCTTTTCGTATTTTCATTTCTCCTGTCTGCTGAGGAGGCGCTTGGCCGAAACGTTAACCCCTCATTGTCTTGTCTATTGATTAAAGCTTCCCCATACCTTTTTCTTACCTTTAGCCAAAAAACGAATAATGTTCACATATTTATTTGTTCACGTTATCTTCGATGAAATGACTTATATTATTTAATGTGTGTGGATAGCTAAGGTATGAGTTATCGCCTGCTCGTTTCTAGGGCTGTTGATGATCGAAAAACATAATATGTTTTGTTGTGGGAATAGCTTTGGGGTAATAACTTAGTGGGAATTGCGTTATTATAACGAGCTGGCCGATGAGATGCAGGTTCGTGGTTTTGTATACAGAAGTGTATCACTGCGCGGACACCTAGTGAATGAGGCCTCTGGGGGTTATCATTAATCCAGCTGCTAAGCTGTTGTGGTTTCTTGTAAAACGGCAACCAGATAGGTCTATTGGCCCGCTGACCTTCACACAGAAGGTAATCACAAGATGTAACTTGTTGCCCCCAGTGCTGGGTAAGATTTGAAAAGTACAAATTTCGATCAACCCCTAGGTTTATTTAAGATAGGGGGTGGTGGATTTATAAAAAGGGAGGAGGGTATCATTTCTGACCTTAATCATGAAGTTGATAATGAACAGTTAAATAACTTGAGAATCCATCCATCCCAGTGGTGCTACCACCCATGAAGGGCTTTGGCCTGCCACACCACTTCCTTCGACCCAGACCTAACTAATGCCTTTCTTTTCCATGCTTGGACTTTCAGCTGCTGTAGATCTTTTTCTACATCATCTATCCACGTAAGCCTAGGTCTGCCTTTGAGCCTTTTTCCTCTGGGGTATTGGTGATGCACCCTCTTCGTTCCTCTGTCATTTGGCATTCTCTCTGGGTGTCCTACCCAGCGTAGCCTGCCTCTTTTTATTTCTGCTACTATCGTGTGATCCTGATATAGACTGTATAATTAATGGTTGGTTCGTATTCTCCATCCATATTCAGCCGTTTGTTGGCCCTTATATTTTCCTGATAACTTTCCTCTCCCATTTTTTTAATAGGTTTTCTGCTGATTGTGTTATCCGTGATGAAAAAATTATGTTTTGAGTTCATTCCCCAAAGACATAAGGAGTGTTGGAGGTGGAGGTTTGTCGTCTGTGACGCATTATATGAACGGTTGAACACCACTTCATCGACCCACTTCATTGACAGATACACTTCTTCGACAGACACTTCAAAGACGCTAGCAGTACATGGACAATTAATAGGATTTATTTAGCTATCAATATAATTAAACAATATAAGAATTATAATTAAAATCATCAACTTAGAGTATGGTAGTTCCTGTACCAGTACACAGTTAGTACAATGTGCCAAAAAAATAAGGTACAATGTTGAATATGAATTAACACATATAATTAAAAACAAAATAACACACTCTTGTCTCATTAAGTAAAAATCTCATTCTCTCAATATTGCTCTCTTTGCTTTTATAGTCGGTTCTATCGAAAATTCGAATCGTATTCCGGATTTGATTTGTAACTAGAACATTCCACAATTTGCTATAATTTTCTAAACCCTTCGACTCAACCAATACAGGCGATAGCATAATTTGTTGTAAACAAGATCAAAAGGAATAATCGACACCCAAAATGAACGCAGCGTCTGCTAGGGATCTCAGCAGGGGGGAAATATGACGTAAACACGTCCTACATAACAACGGACTTTAGAGCGACAGGCGATTCATCGACATATTTAAAAAAAAAATCTATATGAACACTTTGTCAACATATAGATTCAAGATTTTGTCGATGAAGTGTTGGTCAATGAAAAGGGACAAGAACTGCACGGTGATCAGTGAAGTAATGTAAAAGGATACAGAGATAGTTGAAACTTGATTGAGACATTACACTCAAACATGACACCAATAGTGAGAGAGAGAGAGAGAGAGAGAGAGAGAGAGCGAGAGAGAGAGAGAGCGAGCATTACATTCATGCATGCCATCACATAGAAAGAGTGTTAGATTCATAGTCGACAGCACATAGAGAGCAATACATTAATACATGACAGCACATAGAGAGCTTTACATTAATACATGACAGCACATAAAGAGCAATACATTAATACATGACAGCACATAGAGAGCAATACATTAATACATGACAGCACATAGAGAGCAATACATTAATACATGACAGCACATAGAGAGCTTTACATTAATACATGACAGCACATAGAGAGCAATACATTAATACATGACAGCACATAGAGAGCAATACATTAATGCATGACAGCACATAGAGAGCAATACATTAATACATGACAGCACACAGAGAGCAATACATTAATACATGACAGCACATAGAGAGCAATACATTAATACATGACAGCACCTAGAGAGCAATACATTAATGCATGAAAACGCTAGAGAGAAAGCATTTAATTCATATGTGAAACCGCAAAGAGAGTATCACATTCATACCTAACAACAAACAGAGCGCATTCAATTTATACCTGACAACACATGGTATTAATACACAATTCTTTAGACTAAAATGAGTAAATAATGGGAAAATTAATTTCAGACTTAATAGAAATTAACTCACAGTTGGATGAAGCATCTGGAAAAAAAATGTTTATTTATAGAAGCGTAAAAATTAACTATTAAATTAACAATTAAATTAACATGATTAAAATGAAAAACTGCTTTATCAAAAAATGTATAAATTAAAATAATTATTTGGTATATTAGACTTTGTTTTGTTAATTTATTTCTTTGTTTTGTTAATTTATTTCTTTGTTTTGTTAATTTATTTCTTTGTTTTGTTAATTTATTTCTTTGTTTTGTTAATTTATTTCTTTGTTTTGTTAATTTATTTCTTTGTTTTGTTAATTTATTTCTTTGTTTTGTTAATTTATTTCTTTGTTTTGTTAATTTATTTCTTTGTTTTGTTAATTTATTTCTTTGTTTTGCTAATTTATTTCTTTGTTTTGTTAATTTATTTCTTTGTTTTGTTAATTTATTTCTTTGTTTTGCTAATTTATTTCTTTGTTTTGCTAATTTATGACTTTGTTTTGTTAAATTAACTGGACGCTTTTTTATCCATACAAGTTTAATTTTAACATGAATTTATTTCGACCAGATAAATATAATAGGAACCCGTTTAATGAGAAATAAGCAAGCATATTTTATCTTACCATTCACTTGGATTTGCGCTCCACCAATACCTGAAAAATACAATGGGAGAATAAAGCTATATTTATTCGAATGAAGGAATATAATACAACAATTCTTAACACGTAAAGTGGCAGTAAACTGCAAACAAAAATTAAGCTTATTTGTTGGAGTAGTCCGATTGCATACCTCTACGACCAAAGTACACACAAACTCTACGACCAAAGTACACACAAACTGTACGAGCAAAGTACACCCAAACTCGACGTCCTAAGTCCACACAAACTTTACGACCTAAGTACACGCAAAATCTACGATCTGATTACACACAAACTCTACGACCTAAGTACACAAACTCTACAAAGTGATTACACACAAACTCTACGAACTATGTACACACAAACTCTACGAACTAAGTAAACACTAACTCTACGAAGTGATTACAAACAAACTCTACGAACAGAGTACACAGAGAAAAATCAGATTTCAAAGCATAGTTTGTGGCAATCCACCAGTACCTTAGTTTTAGTAACATCTGTTTTTAGGATAGAATGATAAAATTTTTTCGTGAGTAGAACATTTAGTTGTAACAATTCGACAACTGGATTCTTTTACCTGTGAATGAAGTTAGCTTTTTATAATGGAATAAAAAGATCTACAAATGACTGGAAAAGTATAGTGTTAATCATGACAAACAACCAAACTGTTATGTCGGAGGCCACCTTGATAAACTTACTCTGACAGGTTCTCCGAACCAAACCCTGCAAAATGTCCTGTAGCACGTCAAAGTTATTGACAGTCAAGATGTCATTGGGCCCGCCGATGTACTTGAGCTCCTCTTCGTTGATGGAATCTGTCACACCTATGCCCAGTGTTATGATATTGGCTTCTCGAAGTCTATCTGCCGCAGCCTTTGCTGTCATAATTGAAACAAGTTATTAGTTTTAAAAATAGATATGAGGAAATTGACGCAAATTTACCGCAAAGTTTTTTTTAAATATTTTTTTAGATGTGAGTGGGTCAAGCCTAATAGCTTTTAACAGTTAAAAAAAAAACAAGCTTAGAAACAAAGTTGTAGAAACTTTGTCAACACAAATGAAAAGAATACGATATATAAGAGGATATACAACTTTAAAAACCAAATGAATTTTCTTAAAGTTTAAAAAAAAAATAAAAAATTAAAAGATGTAATTGAAGTCTTTAACTTAGCCACAGTCTGCACTGTCTTAACAGAAGGGAATGTAATTTGAGACTTTATCTTAGCCACTAACTGCACTGTTTAAACAGAAGGGAATGTAATTATGTCACGATTATGTTGTTACAATGGAACTTTTTTTTAAAAATGTGACAATGCCGCTTTATCTTAAGTTCAAATTTTGACACATTTCAGCTTTATGGCATTTTGGAACAACGGAGCGGCAACAGTTGATTCTGCATGAGAACAAAATCAAGAGTATTAACCATAAAGCTAAAGAAGTAAATACAAAGAACATTTTAAAAAATAAAATGTCTTAGTAACCGAAGAGATCTAAAGTCTTGGTCATATTATGTTTAAAGTGGACTCATTTGCATGTATACAATTTCAGGGTAGTTACAGTTAAAACACAAAAAGGCGGTTTCCATGGTGACTCTGTATCATTACTTTTAATCAAAAGGTCCTTTTTATTATGATTACCATCCTACATGATGGGTATCTTTATCCTCTGAACCCTTCCTTACCATACTTACAGTGTTGATTGTTTCTTCTCAACACATTTTCCGGGTGACGAGAAAAATTGTTTCGGGCACTTACTGCTTTCACGTGACGAGGACTGCCCATCTGTCACAAGGATGATCACGTGGGGTCGTCTATCTTTTCCGAACATGTTACGGGCTTTGTCCAAGCCCTTGTCTGTCCTTGTAAAACCACGGGCATAGGGAACGCTGGAAATGGCCTGGATTATATCGAAGTTTTCCTCATAAGTTGAGATTACGGGGCAGTACTGATGTTGTGTGTCTGTATTTTTAAACATATTAGTAACAATTGAAAATTTTAGCAAGTTTTATGGAGAAAAAAAAAAACCCGCTTCGGTCCGCTATATCACACAGTCCTAGTCCAGAATTTTAATGATTTGTTCTTGTTCGCAAATTTGAGTTTGCGTGTTTTCGTGTGGAGATTATTTGTGTAGATGTTTCTATGTGCTTGGTATTCGAGACGTATTTCGGTATGGGAGATGACGTTGTTGGCTTTTATGAATTCTGTAGTAGTCATGGAGATGCAGAGAGAAAGAGGGGGAAAGATGGAAAGCTGGGTTTTTTTCCAATAAAAACCAATATGTCATATGAATCATCCATTTGTTGAATAATTACCCCTAGACGTAATAAAGATATTGAACTAATTATTCCATTTTAAAAGTTCGTAGCATTTGCTACTAGGGGATAAGCAATACAATAGCTTCGTTGCATTTAGGAACCAACATTAGCAATCGCATTATAGCTATCCTACTTTTTAAGAATCAGATTATTACATTGTTAAACTTTTTAATTTAGGATTGAAACGCCAATAGTCTTGATGGATCAAATTTTTTTATCGAGAGAATTTAGTATCATCCGCAGGGCTATTCAATATTTTAGAACATGAACCAGATATGGATGAGTGGAAAGGACTAAGCCAGACAATGCATCTGTCTTTGTTTGGGTTTTATTAAATTTAAAAAAAAATAAAACCTTAATACATCCTCGAAACAGACGTAAGTTCACACGTCAAGTTATACTGACGCACCAAAAAGACCATATTTAAATGACCTCCGTGGTAAAGTGAAGGATGAATTACTTTGTTTATAACAAGAATCTGTGTCAATATATATATATGTATAAATTCCCATTATATCTTAATTTTAGCTCAGACTAATGTCACCGCTTTCTCACTGTTAAAACTCAGGTGAGAAATAAAGAAGGAATTTAAAAACCTAAAACAAACAAACACCCTCATACCTGTCTCAAGGAGACCGAGTCGTTGTACTTGTCGAGGTCAAATGAAATGTTGGCGGCATCACTGAACGTGACCAGTCCAAACCTGATCCCCGACAGGGCGTCATCCGAGAAGTAGGTCGTAATGTTGATGATGAAGCGCAGGACCTTCTGAAAGTTGGAAGAGCCAATGCTGCCAGAGGCATCAACCACAAAGACGATGTCGGCGTCTCCGTTACATGTTTCAAGAGTCTCGGCTGATCCTGCGGTGTAGAGGCGAAGTAACATGTTTATATGTGTTACTTCGTGTGTTTTCTTACTCTTATGTGTCATATATGTTGACATCACTTCATATGATATATTTGATATTATTTTTCATGTTTAAATCACTTAATATGATCTTTGTTATAGTATTATTTGTTGTTAAGTTTCATAACATATTTTAAGAGATGAAATTAATTTAAGTTTAAAAAATTGTTTTAGGATTGTTAATAATGTAACAAGTAGAGCACATAATAAATTTTAATATTTTCTTTTAGTTTTTAAAAAAGAAAATGTGTGAGTTGATTCAGATAACATTGTTATATTTAATGACGAAAGAAAATCTTTTGTTTATTACGTAAATAAAAATTTTTAAATGGAAGTTTTGGACGCCCAGGAACTGACTAACACAATATAGAAAACGCCATCTTGCATACGAAGGTTCCGCCATTTTGGAAAGAAATGATATACTTAAATCATGCTTTTAACATATACAACCAAAAAATCACTCTTACACAAAATGAGATTTATTTTCAAACACAAAATATGATCTACAACCTATACATTTTTCATAAACAATAAAGTAAATGCCTTGCTTTAAATCACTTTGAGATTGCATTAACTAATCCGACTGGGACTCTGAAGACTCAGAAACAGTATCGTGCCCAGGGCTGGCCCTAACAATTACGGGGCCCTATGCGAAACGAGATTGCGCGGGGCTCAGTCTGGGTAGGGATAAGGATAATAAGTGAAAATTAAGATTTTGTATTAGAAAAAAAAGTGCGGGGCCCACTGCGGCCGCATAGGTTGCAGTGGCCTAAGGCCGGCCCTGATCGTACCTCTAGGACTGAAAACAATATAATGCCTCTTGGATCAAAATCAATATAATGTACACGTGACAAAACACAATATGGTGCCTCTGGGACTAAAAATAATATTGTTCCACTGAGACCAAAACAATATCATGTGAATCGCTCCGAGTGTGGCAAGACATGTAGAACTCCATGGTCATTCACTGCACCGAATTCCACCCCCAGCCGTCTTGATCTTGTCTTGCTGCTTTATCCAAGTGGTTTTTGGCCAGGGCTTGAGGATGACTACTCTTCCAATTCTTCCTCACTTAAACCCAAGTCACAGAGAGTGTCTCTGTAGTCATCATTCAAGACATTAAGTATTCATTAAAAGTCCTTGGCGATGGGCAAACGATGAAGTCACAGGTGTGGGTACATTCGTATCCATAATAAAGAGCCTGCACATGGGCGGCCAATGTCATATGGTTTTTTAATCTCTAAAAGAAAGGAAGTCATAGTGGTGTCTTGTAGCCCCCCGCCCCCCCCCCGCCCGAATGACTGAGCAGACGTCTTTACAAATACACTACCCACCTCTTTGAAATGAGGAGGAAGCTAGAACAGTAACTCTAAATGGTGTAGACTCCACTCTTCCCTATCCAGCCTTAAATAGAGAGGGCCCTATCAATGAGGTCGAAGTTTCAAGAAATCAAAGCAAAAAATATTTTAAAAGCCTTGAAAAATCGGTGCATGTAATGTGCGCCCTCTTCAGGATGAGGACGATGCGGAAAGACCTCAAGGGAGAAAAGCACTTGCAAGAGCTAAACAGGTATAAGAGGGATAGTGCAGCGTTTAGCGGGACATGGCTTGCAGGACAGGGTGAACAATGTCAAAGGGGCTCTGGATATACATATTAATTAAAGGCATCAGCTAAAATTTAGAAACAAAATAGCGCAGTTAGGATACCAGCATCGCTTCCCCAACCGTTGCACATATGCCAATACATGAATTGAGCAACGTACCCTACCAGAACCAGAACAGAAGCAGAAGTAATTTCTTCACAGAAAACTTCAATCAACCAAATATTAATTATCATTATACTAGCTATAACCCGCAAAAAAATGGTGAATACAATGCTTGAATTTCCCAACTACTAAAATTATTTGAAAAAACATGCATTTAAATCGTACATTATAAGGATGACAATTAATGCAATCTGACCCTCGCTCACACCCCCCCCCCCCCCCAATCAAATCACCACTCACTTTTTTTACGTCACTGAAATATATTAATATTCTTATGCCCCATTTTACACTGCATATTTATTACGTCATATTTAAATTAAAACTATTTGAGTAATCGAAGAAAAAATATAACACACCAAACTCACTTGAGGTCTTTTTAAGAATGTCATTTAGCGGAGTTATTATACATTTTTTTTCCCCACAATTAAACTCTCCATTAGTTTATACTGTCTTTCATATTTAAAGAATTCTATTGATTTGTGAGGGGCATATATATGTTTCCCCTTTTGTTTATTTCTCTTCCATATAAAGCTCTTTTAGAGATGTCAGCTTGCATGCATTATATTTCATTTCAATATAAAATTGGAACCATTGCATTGTCGTGATAACATGTGTAAACGTCTTTTATCATTTTAAAACCAGCTGTAACTAACTCGTTAGTTACCTATAAAGCAATGAGCACACACTTGTGGGGGGAAACACTAAGAAACAAGTATATGCTATTTTTTCCTTTGTCTTAAATCTAGGGGCTTACTAATGCGATAAGTGGTCACTGCAACTTCACATGACCCTTTAAACAAACAGACACAAAAATGCTAAAACAGTTGGTAAAGCCGTGTAAAATGGCACATGCTTGAGTCATGAGGTACGTTGTAATACGGAACGACAAAATTATAAATAATGAGATCAACTTTTGATCAAAAAAGCTAATGTGTTTATTATTTAAAAACATTAGAAGTCAATGGTATTTTCTAACAATAAAATATTTATTCGAAATTTTTTGTGTTATATTTAAAAAAAGAAAAAGAACCTTAAATAAACATAAAAAAACCCATACACAATGAAACACAATGGTATATGCATATAAAGCTAACACCTTCAAGACTTAACCTCCGTCAAATTTAGGTTTAACATATTTATAAATTAAGGACTGCTTTCAAGCTGTTTGAAGTGAACAGTAGAGCAGTGTATGTGGAAGCTTAAATAGAAGGACAGGACAACACAACAAGTACGTTTCGGCTGAGAGCCTTCCTCAGCAGACCTAAGTTTTTGAACTATTTTCAATTTCTTATCGTTTTTTTTTTCTTCCTTCATGTGTCCACCATTAAAAATAAACGTTCACTGCAAATGTCAGCACACCACGGTCCTACGATTTAGTGTCACTGATAGTATGTCAAACTCAACAAGTTTTCAACTTCAATAGCTCCAAAAAAGCAGAGTTTAGTAAGTAAAAGATGTATTCTTGTCGAAGATATGGAACAATTAATAATATAACTACAAATTTGTTGGAATGTTTTGACTAGACATTACACAAGTAAATATATATTTTTAAATCTTCTAAGTTCACAAGTTAAATTTATCATGCACCAGTTAAATATATCATGAATCAGTTAAATATATCATGTATCAGTTAAGTATATCATGTAGCAGTTAAATGTATCTTGTACCAGTTAAGTATATCATGTACCAGTTAAATGTATCATGTGCCATTTAAGAATATTACGTATCAGAAAATGCGATGCAAACAACTCACCAATTAACGATATCGAGGATAAAACCAAAGTAGCCAAGATCAGCGCTGCATGATTCATTTTGAAGAAATGGTTTCTGTGGAGAGCAGAACACAACTACAAAATTGAATCTCCCCAAAGTAACTGCAATTATCGATACAAATATAATTGAACAAGTTTATTCTATATAAAAAACAATGACTGACACTGGAGTCCCCAATATGTCGCCCAGCCCAAGCCACAGTCCGCCGACTGAAGTTTTTTCCATAAACGTGTTCTAAAGATTTGCAAGTGCTGCACTCAGCCTGTTGGTAATTTATAGGCAATTAAATTTTGAACCTGACTCTCTCCAAAATCGTTGGAAAGAAAGTTTATGTGGCTTACAGTTTATCCCATGGTTGTGTGTATGCCTGTGAGTGTGTGTGTGTGTGGGGGGGAGTATCCGATGTGGTGTCATTACATTATTGTTAATGCCTGTGAGTGTGTGTGTGAGGGGGGGGGAGATCCGATGTGGCGTCATCACATTATTGTTTATTTGATAACCTGAAAATGCATGGGATTTTAGATATTATTTCCTCTCACCTTTTCCCACTAGCCGATTTTGACAATTACTCGTGAATGTCTTCTGATGTAACATGCAAGTATAAAATATGGATATAAATATCAGAACAGATCAATCATTATTCTCTTGTCGGCTCTAGGAAATAAAGGTAAAGTACACCTCAAAATCAAACCCTATGGGCTCAGCTTCGTTCGAGGTCTTTCACAGCTACCCCCATCTTTCCACATCCCTCCTAGATACCCTCACCAATCCCAGCTATCCTCATCTTTCCACAACCCTCCTAGATACCCTCACCTATCCCAGCTACACCATCTTTCCACATCACTCCTTGATACTCTCACCTATCCCAGCTACCCCCATCTTTCCACATCCCTCCTAGATACCCTCACCTATCCCAGCTACACCATCTTTCCACATCCCTCGTGGATACCTTCACCTATCCCAGCTACCCCCATCTTTCCACATCCCTCCTAGATACCCTCACCTATCCCAGCTACACCATCTTTCCACATCCCTCCTATATATCCTCACCTATCCCAGCTACACCATCTTTCCACATCCCTCCTAGATACCCTCACCTATCCCAGCTACACCATCTTTCCACATCCCTCGTAGATACCCTCACCTATCCCAGCCAGCTCCATTTATCCCCGCTAACCACTCTAAACAGCTATTTCGATTGATCCTACCTATACCCATCTATCCCAACTATCCTCATCTCTCCAAGCTACCCCCATATATCTCAGCTACCCCCATATATCCCACATACCCCCATATATCCCAGCTACCCCCATATATCCGAGCTATCCCCATATATCCCAGCTACCCCCATATATCCCAGCTACCCCCATATATCCCAGCTACCCCCATATATCCCAGCTACCCCCATATATCCCAGCTACCCCCATATATCCCAGCTACCCCCATATATCCCAGCTACCCCCATATATCCCAGCTACCCCCATATATCCCAGCTACCCCCATATATCCCAGCTACCCCCATATATCCCAGCTACCCCCATATATCCCAGCTACCCCCATATATCCCAGCTACCCCCATATATCCCAGCTACCCCCATATATCCCAGCTACCCCCATATATCCCAGCTACCCCCATATATCCCAGCTACCCCCATATATCCCAGCTACCCCCATATATCCCAGCTACCCCCATATATCCCAGCTACCCCCATATATCCCAGCTACCCCCATATATCCCAGCTACCCCCATATATCCCAGCTACCCCCATATATCCCAGCTACCCCCATATATCCCAGCTACCCCCATATATCCCAGCTACCCCCATATATCCCAGCTACCCCCATATATCCCAGCTACCCCCATATATCCCAGCTACCCCCATATATCCCAGCTACCCCCATATATCCCAGCTACCCCCATATATCCCAGCTACCCCCATATATCCCAGCTACCCCCATATATCCCAG